TATACGTGAGCTGGGATTAGACCGTCGTGAGACAGGTTAGTTTTACCCTACTGATGAAACAACATACTTTAAAGCGATATACATTTTTTGATCAGCGTTTCTTTTATTTGTCTATTTGATTTTATTTTTGAGAGAGAGAATTTTTAGAAATTGTTTTCACAACAAACATTTATGATGTGTTGTGGGCGATTGCAGTTATGTGTATCTTCATAGTGTAAGTATTTACACATTTCATTCCGAAGGTGCGAAATCGGTGGACGAACGCCGTGAAAATAACGAGAAAAGATTGGGGTGGACTTGCTTCTTACTACAGCGTCAAATGTAGTGTTCACTTCACCTCAGATTCTTTTTTTCATGACAAAACAACTAGATTTAAACCAGGCGCAATACAAAACGTTTTCAAAAAAATAGATTCCGGACCAGTCCATGAGCACTGAGGCGGATTTCAGAAGGGAGAGAGACGCCGGGTAAAAATGTTTCAAATGATTTGACTTTTATTTGCGATCATGATTATTGCTTTATAGAGACCGCCCGTGTTATGTAAAAAGTAGCAGTAATTTTGATAATGACACGAAAACGAAGCGTCGGACAAACAAGAAATTACGCAGCCCTGTTTTCATTTTCGCAGGCTAAAAGTGTCTGAATTGTTCGGTGATTGGTGTTGAATGTCGAATTCACACCGTTGTTGCTTTTACATGCAGCTTGATCTGCGTAATAATTTATAGAATAAGAATCCGGGCTTGGGCTGTGTTTCCAACAAGTGATTCTTTAGTATACCGTACTCGACCGCGTTAGCGCCCATGCCCGGGCAAGCGCCCACCCCCCACTTTTGCGCAATTTTTATATTTGGGGTCACATTCGGCAAAGCGCCCACCCCTTCAAAATGCAACTAATTTAAAATTTGGTCTTGCGTAACGAATCTTGGTAATCGTTTTTCTATGATACAGCGTGGATGTCGTTTATTCGCTGAAATCAATTCCAACAGATCGTACTTCGACATCGATAATTCACTTCCGCATTGCGTTACCGGAAAGTCTTCGGGAATTTCTGAAGAATTGCATCAGTACAACACAGCATTGTGATTGGTTAATAACCAACTTGACCCATTAGGTCAAAGGACGCCGCTGCAGGTGAAATCTGCAAATGCATCATGGCGGAAAGTGATTTTCATCGAGAGTTTGCGTACGATCCAACACCTTCGTCAGTAGAGATATGACAATTTTGACTTCGACTGTGTTCCAACAGACTCAAATGTTTTTAATTTCGTAAATTCTGGTGGTACGTAATTAATATTGTAATAAAATGTGCATATTTTTTGTGATCATTTCTGTTTCTTCATTGTGAAAATCATTGACGACTCACTAATTTCGTAATTTGATTTCCCTCAAAGACGTAATCTGTTACTTGATGAATCAAATTTTTCATTTGCACTCTTTTTCGAGGGGGGTGCTCGGGTAAGCGCCCACCCCTAAAAAATCGTGATTTTCTGAGTTGAGGCCCCTGGGCGCTAACGCGGTCGAGTACGGTACATATAGTGTAATAGTTTTATTCCTAGATTTAATGGTTTGTCTGAATCAAATGTTTTATTGCATAAATTAACAACACAACATACTTTGATTCATAAATTTGTCATTCATGAATATCGCTACTAATTAAAGCGGGGGAGTCGTCACCTACGCATGCGTCAGATGGCCATAGCGTGTCAATGTTTACAAACAAGCTTCTACCCACGAACCTTTGTGTTCTTAGTGCGTGTTGTTGTTATCATCGCTTGGGACTCAATTTCCGCGTGTGCGTAGGTGACGACCCTCTCGCTTTAAGCAATTATGGCAACACAATACACACCAACAGCACTATGATTGGCAGAATAAAAACCTACCTGTCGGTGCAGTCTTGGTCGTTGGTCTGACAATACGTCCCACTGAAACCCAGTGGACACGTACACGTGAAGCTGTCTACATAGTCGTCGCATGTTGCATCATTCAGGCATGGATTGGACATACACTCGTCAATTTCTTGCATACAGTTCTTCTGAGTAAAGCCTGGCACACAGGCGCATGAATAATCATCAACCTCATCAATGCATGTTCCACCATTCTGACAGGGATCTGAAAAATATACCACAAGATGTTTCGTACAATTGTATACACATCAAAGTTATTGCAAATGAGCAAATTTTCGAAATTAAATAAAGTCTATATATTTTTCTTTCTTACCTGGATCACAGTCGTCAATATTATTCTCACAATTTTTGCCATCATATCCTCGTACACAGAGACACTGGTAGGTTCCATGGGTGTTGACACACTGGGCACCATTTTGACATGGTGAAAAAACACATTCATCAACATCATCAGCACAGCGAATACCTATACAGTGGACATAAACAAATGAGGAACATCTTATCAAGTAATTCGTGTACAAAAGATAGAGTGAAAACATGATTTAATCAATAAATAAGCACAGACAATCAGATATTTTTTCACCAGATTCATTAAGATGGCAGCCATCTGATGACTTATTTACAATCACTGCATGAAGTTATTTTCACAATTTCTAAAAATTTGCAATTCCAAAAAAAGAAAGCAGCATTGCAGCTACAATGACTTACCAGTGAATCCACCAACACAGGAGCAAATATAATCCTGATAGGACTGTGTGGGTTCACACACGGCTTCATTCTGACAGCCATGATTCAAGCATGGATCCAACCGATCTTCACAGACGGATCCAGTGTAAGGTGGGTCACAGGCACATGCGAAATCATTCACAAGGTCAATACACTGCCCGCCATTGGCGCATGGTTCAAACGCACAATCATCAATGTTGAATTCACAATTGATACCTTCATAGCCAGTTAAACACGAACACTCATAACCATCCAGATAATTGTGACAGGTGCCACCATGCTGGCAAGGATTGGAAGAGCATTCGTTGTAATCAGCTTGGCACCTTTCACCGGTATAGCCACTTACACACACACACATGAACTCATTAACTCCATCAACGCAAGATCCTCCGTGCGCACAAGGACTGCTAGAGCACTCGTCGACGTCCGAGAGACAGAACGCATCATAGTATCCCAGCGGGCAGTTACATATGAATCCATTTATACCATCTATACAAGTTCCACCATTAACACATGGATTTGAGGAACATTCATTAATGTTTATTTCACAGTGTTTTCCACGATATCCTGGTGTGCAGTAGCAGGAATACATGTTAACCTTGTCCACACATGTAGCCTCATTCTGACAGGGGTTGCTTTGACATTCATTGGTATTGATTTCACAATTGGGACCTACAGAAAATAAATTAATTTTTTTACTTAAATATAAATAAATTCTTATGAACTTTACAAAATTTTGTAAATTTACAGACAGTGTGTATAGTAGAAGCTGCCAATACTCATAATTTTTAAACAAGTTGATCATAAATCGCATGGCAATGTTCATTGTTTTATTGTGTCAAATCATGAAGTTGTGTTACAGTGAGCACAATGTTAATAAAAAATAGGCCAATGGCTTGTTGCTCAACAGCTATTGTACAAAGGATTATACTGTATATGACAAATACCCAAAAAAGCATAATGCTAAAAGTGGAATTTTTTACAAAAATAACAGAAATATTCAATAAAATTAGAATCAAAGAGAGCTTAAAAAGAACTCCAGCATGTTGAGGGAATAACATAACATGATATTTGCAATTATCTGAATTCGTAATACATGTATATACCAAGTTTTGTTGAAATATGTTGAATGGTTCTTGAAATAGCACCCAAATAGCTTGAATTTCACAAGCTGATATGCAAATTATCTAATTTGCATCAATTTACACCAAAAACTAAATATATCTGGAAACTGCCCCGACACATCTATGCACCAAGTTTTATTAAAACATATTAAATGGTTCTCAAGATATCCTAAATATTGGTATGTAAATTAGTCAATTTGCATAATTTTCCACCAAAATCAATCATGTCTATACACATTCAAATATGTTGAGTGGTTATGTTTTCATTACAATCACAATAGACCAATCAAAGAAAACTTAGAACTTCCATGTGCTATATGAGAATGAGAAACAGTTGACATTGGAAATAGTGGTTAGTTGAAATTCCATTTTTAACCAAAAATGACAAAAATATTTGCCAAAATTAAAGAATTAAAGATATGGCCATGAGATGAACAAATCTAGTAGATGTCAACACAAGGTACATACACACCAAGTATCAAAGCATTCAGGCTACCGGTTTTGAAGAAGAAGTCGAAAATATAATTTTTGACCAAAAATGACCATTTTAAAATATTCGCCAATATTAGGAAATTGAAAATTAACAAAACTGATAGAGGACAACCCAAGGCACATGCACTATCAATATCAGCACTGTAGACCACTTAGTTTCATAGTAGCATAGAAGATATTTTAGAGTTTTGGGGGGCTAATTTGCATAATTTCTGGAAGATCGACTTCTCATGAACAAATTACCATCTACACTCATCAAGGCATCCACACACCAAAAATCGAGTCAAGCGGTTTGGCGTTTTTTTAGAAGAAGTCGTGTACAGACAGACAGATAGACGGACGACAGACGCAGGACAGAAACCCATCCCATAGGCTCAGCGGACCTATGGTCCGTTGAGCCAAAAATTTCATTTTTTGTCACTTTTCAAAACCCAGATTTTTTAAATGGCTGACAACAAAAAAGACACCTTAATTAACAATACTGTGGAATACTTTATTTTCGCTGAAATGGTTTTTGAGTCTAATGTGAAATATTGGAAAAAAAGTATATTCGCTGGATTTTATTTTCACGGAATCATCACTTCAGCGAAAATAGCGAAAATAAATTCCAAGCGAAAATAAAGTATTCTACAGTATATAATTTTATTATTATGTCACCAGCCTACAATTTAAGATAACTTATTATCTTTGCCATAGGAACCCATAGTAAAAGCACTCTAATACTGCAAAAATGGACACTATCCACTAAAACACAGCCACCATTTTCTCGAAATTAAGATGGTTACCCCCAACCTTAATAAAGTCAATTTCCTTATATTGCCCGGAAGTACAATTTATTGGAAAATGAATAAATTCTGGGTATTTGAAATCATGAGTAGGCTTCTACGTTAAAGTAAATAATAAGTGTAGCCCAGTCTAGATAAAATAACACATATGTAACCACAATACACAAAACGTTGATGTCTCTCCTTGAGCTGTGATTTATGAACATCAACATCATTAAATTCCGAGTATACACTTCAGTTAATGTTATTTCTGAATAGATTACGTGTCGCGTAGTAACCTCCTTCAATAGCCAAAAAAGGATTACAACATCTCTTGTAGGATCATCCATCAACACGTACCATAATGTTCAATTACCAGACTACTTACCAGTCAGACCTGCTACACAATCGCAACTGTAACTATTGATCAAATCTGTACACGTTCCGCCAAACACGCACGGGTTACTAGCACACTCGTTGATCTCAATATGACAGTTGTTGCCTTGGTAACCGCCATCACAGTTGCAAGTGTAGGAGTTGATGCTATCCTGGCAAACTCCATGAACGCAGGGAGAGGGATTACAATCGTCGATGTCAGTTTCGCAGTGGATCCCAGCAAAACCTACAAGTCAAGTCGAAATAAATTGAGAGTGAGACCAGATAATTTGAGAAAGTCTATAAGAAAGACAATATAATAGGAGGATGACAAAAAGTTACTTACCAGGCACACAACGACATATATAGCCATTTATGCTGTCTTCACAGGTGGCACCATGCCGACACGGGGCAGAGGCACATTCATTTATATCGAATTCACAGTTCTTGCCTTGAAAACCAGTTGTACACTCACAGTAATACTGATTTACTCCATCAACACAGTACCCGCCATTCTGACAAGGACTGCTCTCGCATTCATCTATGTCTATATCACAGAAAACACCGGTATAGCCTGAAAAATAGAAATTATCAATCTTGAATAAACAAACTAGGTCAATGAACAATAACATTAGGTAATACAAACAGATGCCTTTCTCGGTAGCCAACAATACAAGGTCAACAGGGTACAACTTTTCTGTTTGCTATGGTACTCAAGTTATTTAGACTCACCAGTCATACAAATGCAGACAAAGAAGCCGTTCCAGTCTTGGCACGACCCATGGTTTCTGCAGGGAGATGACTGACACTCATTGATGTTGACTTCACAGCGTGGTCCAGTGAAACCGGTAGCACACTCGCATCGAAATGTACCGGGTTCATTGACACATGTCCCGAAATGCTCACATGGGCCATTATCTGAGAAGATAATAAAAACAAATGATCAACAATACTGAATTAAAGAACTCAATGTAGTTAGTGGGGTATTTCATTTAAGATCTGGGTCATGAAAATGAAAAATGAATGAATGAATGAATGAAAAACGAATGATCATACGATTTTCACGAAGGAATGTACCATAACATTATTTACCATTGTCACATTCATCTATATCCTCACTGCAATCACTGCCTGTGTATCCATTACGACACGTACATAGTGCAGACCCTGTAGATGGATTTGTGTCACATAATGCACCTTGGTGACAGGGATCGCTGACACATGCATCGTCAAGGTGACAAAGTAATCCTGGTGATAAAGTGAGAGTAAAAATTAGATTTCAAGTAAATTTATAAAAGAAGAACTGTTACTGACCGTAATTATTGACTTTTAACACATGACTTTATTTTAATGCTGTTGCTCACAAAATTCTGATAAATAAATATTGTCACTGAACTACTTCGCATAAAAAATGTGTCAAACACCCATGAAAATTGCTCATGAAGACAAATAAAAAAGTGACTTACCAGTATAGCCTTCAACACAGTCACAGTGAAATGAGCCCACTCTATCAACGCATGTGCCACCGTTATAGCACACGGCAGATCCACAGTCATCAAAATTGATACCACAATCCCTGCCTATCCATCCGCTCACACAAATACATGTAAAACCACCAACTGAATTGCTGCATGTACCACCATTTTTACAAAAGGTCGGCTGTTCCAAACATTCGTCCACATCTTCTGTACAATATTGACCTATAGTGTGAGAATCAGTCAACAAAATATTTCAGTACTGATTACTTGCAGGGATTTTTTAAACAAGGGAACAGGGGCGCAGCACCCTCATGTCATGGCCATGCGCCCCCTTACCCTGGGGAGCAGATTCTTTGACAACCATAAAATTCTGATTGACCAGGGATCACATGTGGCCACAGTCTTCAACTGTGATCTGTTCGATACTAATTTTTTGCCCCAAGGAAGCCATAGAATGCTCCATTTTAACTTAGATTTATCAAAAATTAACCCCCTGGTAGGGAGAACCCCATCTCCCCTACTTGGTGGCTCCGCTGAATTGCAGTGCTCCCTCTTGCATTTTTTTGTTATAGAAAAACCCCTGACTTGCAAGGAAAAACAACAGAGACAGATTGAAATGTGTAAACCAACAGCTGTTATGTATGTGTACATTACCTGTGAAGGTACTTGGGCAATCACATGTGTAATCGTTGAGACCATCAATACAGGTAGCACCATTCATACATTGGTGGTTGTGACAATCATCAATATTAACTTCACAGTTCTCACCGGAAAAACCTATCAAAAAAAAATATATGCAGTCATCTTGTTCCGATCACTTTAGATTTGGTTACAGCAATGAACTTTCACAATGTAAGAATGTGTGTTTGAAATTACAAAAGCAAGTCAAAGCCAATTATACTAATTCTTGTCTCAGTACTACTATTTTAGATATTTTAAAGATATTTTCTAAATCTACCAGTTTGTCTTCAAAATATACGAGTGTCTTGGACAAAGTGAGCAATGACACTTGTAGGCATGACAACACAATACCTACAAAATCTGGTCTACCACCTTGTCAAAACGTCACATCCATAAACAAGGCACATCATTGCATTTTTGAGCTTCAAGTCCAGTAATAATGACAGCTGCAACATCAGAGCAAGCCCTTCCAATTAATACAACGAACATGACCACGAACTACATGTAACAAGATTACTTACCTGAAGGACACCGGCATTCGTATGATAGCAAACCAGTCACATGACATGTGCCACCATTCTCGCACTCTGACGGTTCACATGGCACGTATACATGTTCACAATGTCTGCCACGATACTCCAATGTACACAAGCACTCATAGCTGCCTGTTAAATCTTGACATGTGCCACCGTGTTGACAAAGACCAGGATATAGTATGCATTCATTGATATTGATATCGCAAGAAGATCCAGTAAATCCGGTAGTACATTCACAGGAGAATCCATTCTGTGTTGATGTACAGGTTGCACCATTGCTACAAGGTGACAGGCTCTGATAACAGTGATCAGGTTCATCACAAGTATCCCCTTAAGAAACAAAAACAAAAGTTTTGAAGAATATAATATAGAGGGCACCAACCACTACTTAACCAGGATTGAAAAACCAGGGTTTCTAAAAAAATATAGGAATTATTATTTTTTTGGGTATTCTGTATGTCTGTCCGTTTCTACTCTCTTTTTTAGAAAGCAAATTTGAGATAAATTGTTAAACCATTTCTTCTATGATGTATTATGAAGAATAGAAAATATATAAAAAAGGAATTGTGATGCAGAAAGAAAGAAAAATGCCATACCTATGTAGCCTTCTGCACATTGACAGATATAATCTTGCAAAGTAATAAGTATACAGGCTCCTCCATTGTTACAAGGTTGTTCAATTTCACAGATATTTGCTTCTGGACTCTCACACAGAGTCGCAGAGAAACCAATGGGACAGATACACTCAAAATTGACTCCATTGGTACTAACCACGACTTGACAAGTACCACCATTCTGACAGGGAGTGTAGTTGGGGTTGTTTGCATTCACACACGGATCTTGGTAGTCACAGTATTCGCCAGCGAATCCGACCACACAACTGCAAATAAAGTACAAAATTTAATAATTACAATAAAAAAACATGTGTAGTACTGTAAAATCTCTATTAGAAGCCGCATCCCTAATAGAAGACGCACCCAATCTTTTTGTACAATTGAGAACCAAAAATTCATCATTTCTCATATGTGTAGATGCTCTAAGAGAAGCTGCATCTCTTCTGTTGCATTGTACCATTTTAACAGAAGCCGCGGCTTCTAATACAGATTTTACAGTACTGTCTTAATAGTGATTCATCCAAGAACTGAAATAAAAATTTCATTTTTTTTTTAAATGCCTATATCATTTCCTAAGTTAAATATCGAGCAAATTCAATTACAACATAAAGGCCTTCACAATGCATTGAAAATCAAATCATGTGCAAATCACCAAGTGAATTTAAAAAGAAAGTCAGCTTCAAGTTATGCAGTGTGAAACAATTTGATGAGATATTGATGGTGAACAAAAGCAGACAGCAGGGTGCCATGGCACATTGAAAGCCCTGGGTGCTGAGAGACATAAGCAATAAAACACTATCTAAGAACTAGAAATACAATCATCATACATAAATAAGTCCACTTTAGTGATAAAACTAAGAAAAGCTAAATTTTACTCAAGGAATTTGTTGGAGAAAGACACACATAGTTGTAAAATTAAGTTATTCTGTCATTAGTTTAAATTAAAAGAAAACTACATAAACAAAATTTCCCTTTATTTGCTAACATGGAGAAATACTTGCTACCGTAAAATCTCTATTAGAAGCCGCATCTCCAATAGAAGTCGCACCCATTTTTTTTTAACAATTGGGAACCAAAAATTCATCATTTCTCATATGTGTATATGCTCTAATAGAAGCCACATCCCCTCTGTTGAATTGTACCTTTTTAATAGAAGCCATGGCTTCAAATACAGATTTTACAGTACTAGAAATTCCCCATCATTCTCTTTCTCATTGGCCATTGTTTAACCAAGTGTGTCAGGTTTTTCATGACAATACCCGGATGCTTCACACCGAACACTGTGGCTTTTAGAATTTAATTACTGACTTGAGGACAATGGGACCAGGAAGATGTACAGGATGCGGGTTGTAAATAACACTCCAAAGTATCTATTAAGTCTAATTCTATGTATTGTCTCGGTGTTCCCGCCAAAATAACTTTGAAGGCTAGTCCTTGACTGCAACCCCTCCCCCCCTCTATGAATGAGCACCACATGCGCAACTATGACATACAGTAACTGTGAAGGAGAAAAATGTTCATGAATTTATCTAATCATAGAAAATTGGATCTATTTAATCGAGTCACTGATAATAGGATCTTATGTTCCAGAAAACATATTTTCTATGACTGCCCTCAAAAATTCAAATTGAATTTTGTCTTTTTTCTAAATTACATGTAAATCTGTATTAAAAACCGCGGCTTCTATTAAAATGGTACAACGCAACAGAGGGGATGCGGCTTCTATTAGAGCATCTATACCTACGAGAAATGGTGAATTTTAGATTCTCAATTATTCAAAAGGAATGGGTGCGACTTCTAATACAGATTTTACGCTATATTTCCTTTGAGCTATTTTTTTTTTTTTTTGGAACACAGCACAAATAATTGAAAACCAAACAGTGAAAAACACTAGCAGAGTCGATGCAAAGAATAACAATTAATTTCACACAGGAAATTTTTCACCAAAGACGGAAATAGACATGGTGGTAGACATTTAAATAAACAGACAACCAACATGAATAAAAATAAACACTGATCAGTTGAAAACTGCCATGGAGTGGCAGATGTGAGAGTAAATTTATAAAACATTAGAATAATACAATTATTATCTATGCAAATTATTTTCACAAATATACACCATTCTACAAAACACTGTGGTTGTCGCAAAATTTTAATTTGCCCAAATAAAACTGAAGGGAATCGAAAAAATGTCATCCAACAATGTTGAATAACCTGCATGAGTAAAACTTTAATATTGAAAATACAGTTTTGATATCTGTGTTTATATGCCAGAAATGGAAACATGAGAAAATAACAGCTTACTAAATTCCCAGAGAAGAAAAAACAAAACATTCCCAGTACGGCAGTCAAAATAAACTGCTTGGTGTATTTTTTTTAGTTCTACTATGAGAAAAACACACCACCCCATTAGAGGTGTGTGGAGATAAATCCATTAAGACGAGGATTTTTGATAAATTTCAGTCATACAGCTTAAGTACAGATTTACGACAGAGACATTAATATTAAATGCCTTACTCATGACCTCTCTAGTATGGTTAAACAGTGTGGGAAAATTCCCTATCTGTTAGACTATTAAATTTGCTTATTTTGTATTATTATCACTTCCCAAGGGAGGTTAATTTAGCTGTGTTCTACCTCCTCTTTGACTTAAAACCCAGTTAAAATGACATGTGTATACAAAACCAAACTCCCAGATGGCCAGGGCAACTTATGCTTTGGTAGAGCCTAGGCTTTAAGGGGACTGATTGAAACTCCAGTGTACTTATAACTGGATATGCAAATAAGGTTAGGGATGCCCCATATTTCGTGGGAAACTAGATTCTCCATTCAATTTGGCAAATGCGGCCCTTTCATGATAACAATAGCTGAGTACAAAGATGCTCCCCCAATATAGCAATAACAGCTAACTTATGGCGGCTCTTTGCCACACGAAACAATATACCAATCAGCAGGGCTAGCATATGGCACAATTCGAGCATCTATTTTTGACTTGATAAATAAAGACTTTTTCAGCTTGTTTTTAAACACTTTTTTTTTCACTCAAATGTATTTTCTTAGTATCACTGATGAGAAAGGTTAATTTAAGATGAGGGCGCAATGCTACATATATTAGTTAAGATGTTTCTAGCAAACTTTTCAAATTATTATCTTTTATTTTGTTTGGAACAACATAATTTTTTTTATATTGATTTTAAATTAATTTTTATAGCTCAGACCCTAAGACATATCCTGCCATTCTCCATATTCCTAAGCCATCTCTTTAACATTCCTAATTCCTTTCATATCCCCCCCCCAACAATTGCAAGCCAAACCCTGTCATTCCCAACATTGATAATTTATTCCTGTCACCCCTCCCCCAACATTGCTAAACCATCACTGTCATTCTCCAAAAACTTTCAAGCCATCCCTGTCACCCAAACACACACGCATCCCCCAACACACACACAAACATTCTTAAAGGGGAACCGCTCAATCCCATGGATTGCACCAAAGAATCATGGGACACTATTGTTTATGTTGTTACAAAGTAAATCTATCTTTTGTTATCCATTGTAATTTTAATCCAGAAAGTGAATTTGTTGTGACATTAGGCTTAACTGGAAGTGCCCTTTTAAGCCAATCATCATCTCACCCCACCCAAACCTTAATGCAACATTTATAAGCCACCCGAAACATTCCAAAACCATCCCTGTCACCCAAACCTTTCTAGACCATCTTAATAATCCACCCAAACATTGCGTTTCTGCCACCCTAAATTCCTAAACGATTCCCCACATTCCTAAGCCATCCCTGACCCTTCCATCATTCCAAGTTATTCCTACACACACATGCGCGCGCACACATACACACGAACGCACACACGAACCGACCATTCCCACACACTTCAGTGGACACCCCTAACACACACTCCTAACCGTTCTCGACCTACTTCCAAACAGCATGAAAAAAGGGTCAAGGGTTTTGTTCAGTGGAAGATACAAGTATCCAGTGGCAGTGTTGATAATAATTTGACTAATAACATGAAATTGAAAACACAGCATGACAGATGCTTCTCTGAACGCCAAGATATGCAGCCTCTTTACAGCTGTTTTCTCCTAAACCAATGAGACAGCAGTCACCAGGGGCTACCAGACAGAGACATGTATGAATCATTAATACTGTAAAGGGGGTAATTATTCACTGGGTTTTAATTTAGCTTATTTCGCTGACTGGAAAAATGCGCTAAATTAAAACACAGTGAATATGTAAAATTTAGCATAGAACACATTATCTAAATGACGAAACCGTGAATTTAAAACCCACTGAATATGCCTGAAATGGTAAATCAGTGAAATTTAAATCCAGTGAAAATTAGTCATTTTACAGTATCGCATACAAGAATTATATCTGAAATTTGTGGTCCTTGGACCAACAATATAGGATGGTCATACAAGTTTTTTTCTTTGATGCATATTTTTATAATTCGTTGTTTATACAGTTCTCACAGAGATGGAATATGTTTTCATTAATTCAGTGTTCCTTGGAGAAGTCTCTCAATAATAAGCATGCATATCTTTCCATTAGACAATTGGCTGAACCAGTAAAGCAAATAATCCATGCCCAGCCACAAAGCCAAACCGACAACATGCCACATTCTACCTGACAAGGAAATACCAAACACACATATGTAGGTTTATGTTGGCTAGATCTCCCAAAATATGGGGGCGAATTCAAGTTAGGTTTGCCAACTGATGACTTCAAACATGTAATTTGTACATGGAAAATACATTAACTATTTACACACGTGAAGATAAAAATCTAGTTAAAAAATATCTTCACGAGCTTTTCAATTTAGAAAATGATATAAAAAATTTGGGGTTGAGAAAAAAAATCTCTTATTTTATATTTATGTAATGTGTAATATTAATTGCTCCAGGCTTTAAAAAAAAAAATTAATCAATACATGAAAAATAATAATAATAATAATGTATATGTAATTGCCAAAATAACATTACTTTCTTTTTCAAATCTTGTTTCGCTGAAGGAATGAGTCAGTGAAAATAAAATCCAGCGAATATACTTTTTTTTCCTACATTTCACATTAAACTCATAAAAAAAAGTGAAAATAAATTCCACACAAAAACGCCAAAAAAGCCTTTTCAGCAAAAATTAATTCCAAGAAAATAAAGTATTCCACAGTAATTGCCAAAAAACAGACTTTTTTTTTCAAATCTTGTAACAGAAGCATTAGTTTTGTAAACGAAAAAAAAAAAATATTCAAATA